AAAATATTTCAATGGCATCCTTTCAATGCATACTTTTGCCACTGATACTGAATAGTTATCTATACATTAATTAGGTACAAACAACCTTTATCTATGTTGTGTTAACACATATGATTGAAAGTGTTAATGTTATCTTAAAATTATTCTTCTGTTTATATTTTCTGATAGCTTGCTATTTTTCTCTCGTTTTAATCTAAATGAACTTTTATTTTCTTGCTTTTTGCTTTCTAATTGTGCTTCTCCATTTATTGCATATAGATACTTACATTCAGCTCTTGCCCTTTTATGTATCTTTTCAGTCCATGCCTCATCTGACTGCTTACTCCCTAATGTAGACCACAGGATTTCAGTATACTGCTTCCTGCCCTGAACTTACCAATGCGCTTACATTTGGGTTCTTGCTCTCCATTATCTATTTCTTCATCTTTGCTTCTCAACTGTTGTTTCTAGGTATTTGTGGATTTTCCTCTTATTCTTGTTACCTAGCTGATAATGGACAAAACTGCAAGATTAGAAGCTGAGATGGAAAATAGAAGCATAGGGAAAAAATGACTTGTCTTGAATATCTACTATAATACTGGACATTTTGCTTAAATCATGTATTTCTCATAACCCCCTTAAAGATAGAGATATGTTTCATTATTGTCTATATTCTGTTTATAAGTACATTGAAACTCAGAGAAGTTAAATATTTTCTAATTCACAAAGCAACTAAGTACTAACGCCAGGTTTCAAATCCAGTAGATTCGTGTATTTATTCATTTATTCATTAAACTAATATTTATCAAGTGCATACTACGTATTGAACACAGCACTAGGTACTGTAACAGATCCAGCCCTTATTCTCATGGACATTATCCATGTGATAGCATTGTCTGACTTCACAGGTGGTTATCTCTGTGCTACACCAGATGCATAAGAAGAAAAGAAAAGAAAAATAAGTAGAAAGTTCAAATGTTTTGTGGAAAATGGATATTGATAAAGATGTAACAAAGATTGTGCTTTACTTAGGAATATGCTATTTGAAAGGCCGAATTGTGTCTGGTCCCATAGAGAATCTAACATTCTGCTCTCAAGTCCTACCAACTCTCCACTATCAGCACCAGTGCCTTTCAATGGCGTCAACACAATCTGTGTTTTTCTTTTATGTTCTAAAATATAGAAGATCTATGTATATAGGTCCAAATTCTGTAGTGCAGCTTAAGAAAGAATTCATTTCCTTCCTGAAGTATGTTTAGAAAAAGATGTAAAGAATATATACATTCATCAATACAAACATTTATGTATTTTATACCCTGAAATTATTTTAAATGGCTTACCTAAATACATAAACACAACAGAATTTTTAAAGGACAAAAGTGAAAAATAGGAGGAAACTAGTTCATGTTCACTATTCATACTGAAAGGTGCACACAAATTTGTCTCTGTTCTCAGGGTTTACTTGATCCACAGCATCATAATTAAAAAAAAAAAACCTAGCAGTACAGAAGAGTATCCATTTCTAGTTATAGCAGTTGAGAGGAAATTTCTCATAGGTCCCCCTTAAGATCACAGTATTACAATGTGAACAATGACCTCAAATACAACAAGAATTTCACTGAACAATTTGATTGTATCCAATTGCATACCACAGGAGCAAAGTCCAATAAAGCAATTATGTGAAAAGTGAAATGAGGCACTTCAGGTAGACCTTTCTTCGATGGTTTGGCAAAAATCCATGGTATATTTTAGAGTATCTAGAAATATTAATGAACTGAATATATTTCTTGCAAGTTTCATGTTATTTGTTCATGAAGTTTTTCATGTACTGGCTGACAATGAGCATGCATTTTTAAAGTTTATTTTATTCACCACTGCACCATCAGTACCTAAAATACTACATAGTACATAAAGCACACCTAATAAATATTTGTTGCTTAAGTGAATAAATATTGTACCTTGAACTATCTATTTTAAATGAAATACTTCCTCTCAGCTATATGTTGGCATTTCTCTATTTTACCTTAAACAAAATGTGCTACACTACTTCAGGGTACATCATCTTTAAGTGAGTTTCTTCATTATTTTTTCTGTTGCTGTAAGAAAATTCCTGAGTTGGGTTATTATAAAAGAAAAGAAATTTATTTACTTCATACTTTTAGAGGACAAAAGTCCAAGATTCAGTGGCTCTGTTTGTTCAGCCTTTAGTGCGGGCTTCTGTGGTTGCATCACAACATAGCAGAGGAGTAGAAAAGGAAATAGCAATGTGCAAAAGTGGTGTACAGTATGGCAAGACAGAAGGCCAGTGATTCAAAAGTCAGGCTCACTCTCTTTAGAACTCATTCTTTCAGGAACCAATTCCAGGAGACCAGCATTAAAACCTTCTGAGTGGGGCTGGGAGTGATCACCTGTAATACTAGCTACTCTGGAACTGTAGATTGGAAGGATTGCAGGCAAAAAGGCCAGCCCAGGCAAAAAGTTAGCAAGACCCCAACTCAACCGATAAACCAGGAGTGGTGGTGCCTGTAATCCCAGCTAGTAGGAGGCAGAAGTAGGAAGATCACAGTCCAAGGCCAATCCAGACAAAAACTCAAGACCTATTGGATAAATAACTAAAGCAAAAAAGGATAGGAATATGACTCAAGTGATAGAACACCTGCTGAACAAGCATGAATCCCTGAGTTCAGACCCCAGCAGAACTGAAACAAACAAGCAAAAAAGCCTTTTGAGGGCAATGTCCTTGATGATTAGGTCCCATATCTTAAAGGTCCCCCACCTCTTTAAATTACTAGGATCCAAGCTTCCAGCATGTGACTCTTTCAGAGACAAACTACATCCAAACAATAGCCAATTTCAAACTCATTAAATGTCAACCATTGCTTATACAAATGACCTTTTCAAGCAGATAATGAAGTGGTAATTCTACCCAAAGAGCTTCATTAATATTATACTCAATAACATTCCTTTGCTTGATTTTTAGGGCTTTAAATTTTTAAGTTCCCTAAGGAAAAGTTGTAAACCTTAATACAACAATTTAAAACACAGATAAAATGTTTCTTCTAAGCAGTCCTCAAAATCATAACAGATAGGAAATAAGGAATAAGATTAAGATAAATGCTAGCTTAACATTTTTTAGCTGTGAACTTAAATGTAGTAACTCACTTTGAGACTTAAGAATTTAAGATTGCCTTTTCTGATTTCTGCTGGTCCCCTCTGTTTAAAGCAGGCTTTATTGAGAAGTGTTCTTCATTTATTGTCCTTTAAAAAGTTTTGCCATTATTAAATGCTGTATTTTTTGGAGTCACTGAGCCAGTAGATTACATCAATTATGGTGATCCTGTATTCTACATAATTATAAGGGATTAACTAACAATTTCTATGTATCCTAAAAGTTATAACATCAATTAGTAATTAGTATTTAATGCAAGCTTGGTGCATTTTAACTTTTGCTAAGAAAAAAAAAATAATTTGCCAGAACTGTAATCTTATTTAGGTCTATAACTCTACTTCTAATGAAATATAATTCAATCACCTTTCCTTTCATTTCTCCATAATTTACTTTGTATTTTCTTTGCTTTTTCTCTTATTTACTAGCATATTTTATTTTGCAAGCTTTTTCCTATATTCTAATTATTGTTATTTGCTTCATATATGGAAATAGAGAACTTAAGCCTAAAATTTATCTTGACTATTATAGTACAATATACAATCTTAAGTCATTTTATGGAGCTTCAATTTATTTCATTTCACAAAGTAAAGTTTGTAGCATGCCTGTGTCGAGCAAATCCATCAATTAAATTTTTCCAACATATATTCACTTCATGTCTCTATGTCACATTTTGGCAATTCTCACAATATTCCAAAGTTTTCATTATTTTTATATGTGTTGGTCAGTTAGCAGCCATCAACATCAAGACCCTCCACCAGCAAAACAATTATGATTCAGTGAAGGTTCAGATGAACATCAGAATATTTTAGCAAAAAAAATTTTTATTTTTTTAACTTTTAGACACAATACTATTGCACACTTAATAGACCACAGGATAGTGTAAACATACCTTTCTATGCACTAGGAAACTAAAAAATTCATATGCTTTACTGTGGTGTTCTAGAACCAAACCTGATATCTCCAAAGGTATGCCTGTATAACTAGTTTGACTGATCATTAAAAAATGAAAATTTCCTGTCTCCTTCATTAGTATATATACTAATGAATATATGTGTATATGTATATATATGTACATATTCTAGATATTCTAGCTATATCTAAAGCATATCATTTCATTCTTTTTTTTAAAAAAATCAGATGATTTACATTAAAGACAGTAAATGTAGTTTTGCTTATAGCAAGAACATGGGGGAAATTGACTTCTTGTCCCTTATAATCATGCTATAAAATCATGGAGCTAGGAGGGATATAAGATGATCTCAGCTTTTCAGGGACTAATTATTTCAAGAATAACAGGCGGACTGGGGATGTAGCTCAGTGATCAAGAGTTTGCCTATCATGCACAAAGCCCTGGGTTCAATCACCAGCATCACCAAGAAAAAGTAACAGGCAAAGAAAAACACCTAGCTTTCTTACCCTCCAAAAGCCTATTGAGCTATAGCAATAGACTATAGCAATCTCACTTATAGCAATGTCAGGCTTTACTTTGGTAATTTAAGTTATCACACAAGATGAGATACCTAACAAATACTTTTCTACTATAGGAAAGAAATAAGATAGGACTGCTAATGTTCTCTCTCTCTCTTTCTCTCTCTCTCTCTCTCTCTCTCTCTCTCTCTCTCTGTGTGTGTGTGTGTGTGTATACATATTTTTTATTTTTTTGGCCTTGGCTTTTATTCAGTGATCCTGAAAAAGTGACTCTGGATGCTTTTAAAAATATAAGTGTTTGGGCAATTTCAAAGTATGTTATAAAAAGCCTGCTTTATGATTATCTTTAAGTAAAATTTACTAATCTGCCTTCCTTCTTTTTTGGCTAAATTCACTCAGTCTGCTATTTAATCTTTAATTACAGGCCACAAAAGAAGTAATAGAACGGGAAGCACCAGGCATGGCCCTGGCAATGCTGATGGGATCACTTAATGTTACACCTCTGGGCATGCTGTCTAGGTAAGAAAGTCACCAGCATGTTGCAAAGAAAGTTAATGACACTGATCAATACAACAGAATGACAGATCAAAAAGTTTTAGCCACAAAACTTCACCCTTTTTTCCAGAGTGAAAAGTCTTATTATCCTGTCTAGCTAAATCTTGGCCTGTTTTCTCAATCTATTTTATTCTCTCTCTTTGTTTTCTTTTTGATTTATTTATTTATTTATTTATTGACATAATAGTCAATCTTTTAGAGAGTGTTACATCATGGCTGAAAGCTGTCAATTCTAGTACAGAGAAAAGTCCAGTTGATGAAGATCTAAAGCTATTCTTTTTTCTAATTGTTTATAATCACCAACTGATATTCACTAATATTAGGCAAATTCTAGTTTAATAAAATTAAATAGCAAAATTTATTAAAACAACTTGTTCTCACAAGTCAGGAACTTATATTCCAATTTTTAAATAGGCATATTGATATGTGGCTATGAAAAATGTTTGATTCATATTGATATTCTGGTGGCAACATTATATATTTAAATCAACAATCAAATTAATAATATTAGCATATTTTAAATTATACATTTGTTAACATAGTTATTAACATCTGTCTTCAATCTGGTGGCATAGTTATTACTATCTAAGCAACTCCTAAATTAAAATACCATAAATGAGGACAATATATGTCACTTAAGAAAGAAATGTTAACTTAGAATCAGTTGATTTTAATAACCATTGAGTAATACATAGTTAATCTCAGAGCAACCAAAAATATGCATAAATTTTACAATTTCGTTATCATTTGTAGTCATTTATGTCATGTACAATGAAAATATAAAAGTAAATTTATCGATTTAATTGTATTGAATGATTCTTTCTGTTACGTGGATTAAGTTTATATCCCATCAGTGGCAGCCAATTGAAGCGCAATTAAGTAGAATGTGAATGAATCATTAGTTACTATGTTCTTTTTATTGTGGTGTATAAAATTATAACATTTAAAGTCAATGCTAGCCTTTAAGGAATTCAAGTTGATTTGTTTTATACTATATTTTTAAACTTACTGATATTGCGTACACATATGTAGTAAAGGGTCACATTTGATTCTTTTTTTCTTCCTATCATATTAAGTAGGGGTTAACATAAAAGGAACTCTTTCTGGTACACAGAGAATGTATTCAAGAAAGAATTAAACTTCATCTTCTGTTAATTCTTTTTGTAATAACATTTTAATTCAGTAAACATAATAATATATTCATTTGTCAGGGCCTATTTTAAACATTAGGGATTCTAAGGGTAAAAAGAAAAGTAAGACATGGTTCTTGCCTTAAGGATCCCACAGTTTAACTGAAGAAATTATTCTTCATAACTGTTAAGGTAACTCTTCAAAATGCAGACAGCTTTTTCAATATGGACGTATCAAGAAATACATTATAATAATTGGATAAAAATAGAAATACCTTATAAAAATATCACTTTTCTTACTGAATTTTTTTTCTGGGTTAATTTGTCCTCTCCCTCTGTGTCTTCATAATTACTGAATGCCTAATAGCTGGATGAGAGAAAAATTAATCAGCAGGTGCTGATCCTAAGTAATAAATTCATTATCTTATCCTGAAAGCTTTGAAAATTAATATGTATATACAGTATAGTAGCACCTTCTTCTGGCTTAACTGAGTTAAATCTGATTTAACTCAGATTTTATTTATAAATTTTCCAACATGTATAGTAGTCTATATTAGCTATGGAAAAAGGAACTGTGAAATATTTCCCTAAAAGTTCTTTTTTTTTTGTACTTCTCAATGTCTTAAAATTATTACTTTTATAATAGCTGTGATGAGATTGGTGCTTCCTTTCAACAGCATTGCCTTTTCTATGCACTTTGGCCTCTGTACATGCTTCTATTACAGAGCATGTTAATACTATGATTGTAACTAATTATATATATATATTATCTAATTTGCAGAATGTCCATAAGAACAGAAGCTTATTCATTTTGACATCCTCAGTCTCCAAAACAAATTCAGGCAATAATAAGTATACCAAATAAAAAATTAATACAAAATTTTATTGTTATGGGTTACTGTTGATAAACCAGTATTTCACCATTATTCTAATAGCATCTTTTTTCTTGGTAAAGTAATGGATCAAATTGATGCTTTGCCTTCCTATTTTTATCTTTAGAGAGTAGTATTAAATAAAAATAATTCATTAATCATTATAGCTTCATTATGTTCACTTGTTTTTTTGAAAAGATCAAAGACTTTTTTTTCCAAACTTCATTAACAATAATAGAGCAACCACTGTGGTTACACATCGTGGAATGAATTATCCTGGATTTTATTCTCAGTTCTGTCACTAAACTCTACTTGTTTTTTTTAGAGACATCACATAGCTTATAGAAATGTTATGAGGTCCTATATAGATTTATTCACTGATATATATCTAATATTAATCATAAAAATTAAATGCTAGTTTTTCATTGTACAAAGGAATTTACCATTATAATCCTGAATAACACATCTTTGTATTGCTTTAAATATTAGTTCATTTTAGAAATGCATATCTTCTGTAATATTTCTGTGTCATAAAATAGAAGGTGAAAACTTTCATTACTTTTAATGTATGAAACAGAACAGAACCAGTCAGTTTTTGTCACAATTTATCCTATTACCTACCAATTAGGTATCTGTGCTTTATCTGGTCAAGAACTAAATATAAAAACTCTAACACATTCACTGTTGAGGAAGAATAGGTAAAAAACAGTTTCATACTGATATTGTTTTTTTTAAAGCCCTCCTAAAGATTAAAAAAATCACATAATATAAATTTTTATATCAGTGAATCAAATTACCTTAGTGTTATTTAAATAGTGTTGAAGCAACATGGGTAATTTAAAATAATTTACATTACTAGTACTACCATCTTGAAGAGTTTTTAATCTTTTTAACTCAATACCAAATATATTTAGCTTATCAAAAGGTATAGAGAGGAAACAGAAGATGGCTGAGTAGGGAGCACCAGGAATCTGTTTCTCCACCTGGACAACAGTTGAAATGGCAAAATCTTTCTGAAATAACTAATGTGGAACTTACAAATTCACTCAAAGACTTGTAGTTTCCAACAGAAGGGTTGACTGGTAAGTTGTGGTTAATTTTGGTCAACTTCAGCCTAGTGTGTTATTAGATAACCATCTTCCAACCCCCTATCCACATGGTAGCCTAAAACAGCTTGTAGAAGCCAAAGTGGGCAATAGAACTTGTCTCCATATCTGGCAATCTGGGACTGGTGCTCTAGATTAGTGTTTTTGGATTAAGTAAGTGCAAGAACACAAACACAGGTTGTCGTGTTGCAACTCCCACTGGTTGTAGAGTCTCTAAGGAAATTAATAAGAACAGTACCTATTTTCCTCCTACATTTTTCTCTTCTCCTGCTGTTGGGAGCTGGGTGTTTTAAGTATTAGGATATTCAAAAGCAATTACATACATGGAATAATTCAGAAAGCACTGGTGAGTCCCAATAGCAATTGCAAGCTCAGAATAGACCTTTTGTTTATACCAGTCTGACCTTTAACATAAGAGATACTCTCTTACTTCTTTTAAAATCCTTCTATTAGCACACATTAATATTTGCAATGAATTCCTTGTGATAATTCATAGATCCTGCACAGTATAACTTAGAACAAAGTTCACCTCATCATTATATTCCCTTAACTCTCCTTCCTCCTCCCACTTTTTTCACGGTTTTATTATGCTATCTTTATATTACATTTGTGGAAGTGTTTTTGATCCTCCTTAATCCCCCAGTACCCTCTCCCCCCTTCCTTTCCCACTGATCCCCACACAGTTCCTCACCTTAACACATAGTATTATATTATTGAACATTTAAGAATTTTTATTATTATTATCCTTGTTATTGTCAACTGTAGGTCTTACATTCCACAATATTAATGAAAAACATATGATATTTGGGTTTTAAGGATTGGCAAATCTTCTTAACATAGTAATCCTCAATTTCGATCCATTTTCCTCAAAAATGACATAATTTTTGGTTCTCTTTAAAAGAAGAATAATTTTATTCTTTTATTCTTCTTAAAATGTATTCTTTAAAGTATATGTGTATGTAACTTTGTTTCTTCTTTAAAGTGCATGTGTAGATTAACAACATTTTATTTATCCATCATTGGGTAATTGGGCACCTAAGCTGTTTTAACAGGTTGGCTCTTGTGAACAGTGCTGTAATGACATGGATTTGCAGCTATTAGTTGTATATATCGATTTATGTTTTTTCGGGTTATGGCTTAAGAGTAGTATAGCAGGGACATAGGGTAGATCTATTTTACTTTTTTTTTTTAACCTCCTTATAATTTTCTCATCGTTGTTACCTATTTATATTCCCACCACATGGTATGAGGGTTCCTTCCCCTACATCCTTACCGGTATTTATGGTTTGCTTTTTTTTTCTTGTAATTGCCATTCTGATAGGTGAGATGGAATCTCAGTTAAATACCTCAAAGCTATTCTTTTTCTTATCAGAACATTAAGAGACTACAAGGGCAGTAAACTGAAAGATTCAAGGGTTTGAAAGAAAATAATAGAACAAAAAGATTCTATAATCTGAAAAATATCCTCTAAAATGAAATGAGAAATTAAAACATCTCAGAACATACAAAAGCAGAAGAAAATTTGTTTACTGCTATACATGCTTTTCAAAAAAAAAAAAGGCCTAATGGGAGTTCTTGTGGAGGTCGAAATGAAAAAAACAGTAACTCAAAGATATCAAAAGTGGAAACATGGTCAATTAGAAAAGTTAGTAATGATTGAAATTACTTTTTATCATTTGAAATTTTCAGCTTTTCAGTTAATGTGTAAGGAACTTAGAAGTCACCAACTCCACCCGAAGAGTAAAAGCTGAATAGACTGAAAAATTCAATAACACTTCTTAAAATCCAGAGGCAGTGCTCTTATAATCCAATTACCCTCTAAATGCCCCGACTATATTTAATACTGTTAAAATAGC